CGAAGCAACTTGATAGTGTTTCACGAAACTTTATGGAACTATAAATTTTACATTTGAAACGCTGATTTTTAGTAATTTCAGCCGCGGGCCTGGCTTGCTTCCTAATCCCCCCTCCGCTCCCCTAGGGCTTGCTTCGCAGGCTAATTAGATATTGAAGTGTCGCTCACGGCCAACTGCTCCTAAAGTGACTTGTTTGAGGCTTGTTCAGCTCATTTGATGTATATCAAATGTACATGGCAGTGACATGGCACTGACATTAACACCAATTCTTCGAGAAATGGCACAGCTACATGTTAATTTAATATACTGAAATTTTAACTATAGATTCAATAAAAATCTTCATGCAGATTTACCAAAATTTACTATTATAAACAGTCTATAGCAGCTTAATGACAAACACAAATTCCTCAAGGAATAGGTGTAGTAGCATTTCCTTTGAATCATACTGAAGATTACTCTTTCTCTTTGTCAAATATCTTGTTATAGATTTGCCTGTACCTAAATGTACATCGTAGAGGCTTTACACCAAGGACATACTCTTCAAGAAATTGATACAGCAACTTAACTTTTGAATCATATTGAAGATTAAAACAATAATAAGTTGACAGTGACAACAACAATCCCTTTACAAGGATGAAAATCCTTGCTGGTGCATGACTATAATTACTTCTGTCAACAAGTGGTTTATATTTAGTTTGAGATTCTTTACTCAGGTTCAGTAATTTTTCGTATAATAATCACATGATTGTTTACATTCCATGCTTATTCTTCTGGAAGTTATAAATTTATGATTTATTTTGACAATCACTTTGATTGTCATTTGAAATTAAAAATTTTTGTAAATTACATGCAACAAGGATATTCCTAATGCTTTATAGTTAGGGTAAACTAGGAACACTCAAAACTGTGGTCTTGTTTCATGAAGAATCACAGATATTGAGTGTGTTGAAAGAAAAATTAATGTAAAAAAGTTTTTCAAATTATATTTGGTTATATTTCCTTGGGAATTTGACAAGCACAATTCCACAGATATTTCTGAAATTTTGGCAAGCATTTATAATAAATCTAGTTGGAAGAAGAACCTTTCTATATAGAATGAATACTTGCGAAAAACAAGGATTTGAGATATTTATTCAATAGTGGAAATACCCTTAAAATGAGAATTCAAAGTCATGATTCTTAAAACAAGGAATGTAAATCTTATTTTAATGGTGGTATTCTTAAACTGAGGAACTTTCATTGGAGAGTATAAAATTCTTAAAAGCAGAAATCCTGATCCTTACATTTCAAGGAATTGACTCTCAAAATGAGGAAAAAATCCTTGTTTTGAGTATCCACTGACTTACAACAAGAATTCTGAAAAACATAAACTTTAGAGTGGCGTGAACATCCTTGTACTTGTTTTCATCCTTGTGCTAATAATTATCTCAGTGTGAAACAGGCTTCAAGCACGGTACTCATTTGCATTACAAGCATAGGCATAAAGATAACAAGCTAATGTGCAGGTGGGCACAGCTGCAACATAAACATGAGCACAAGCACTCAGTGGATGTTATGTTAAATAGGGACATGGTTGATATAAACAGTATAGTGCTTGCAGATTGCCTGAAAGTCTTTCGCTTATGTTTATCCTTACGCTTATGCCAACCAAGTCTTAGCTAGACAGTATAAGTATAAAAGAAGGCAACGTTTTGATAATCTTATGCATATATGCTTATCCTTATGTCCATGCATTCCATCCAGCACTTAAGCTTTTACATGCCTATCCCTATGCTTGCATTGCAAGTAAATACTGAGCTCAATATTGGAACAATAGTTTTGTGATAAACAAAACAGCACCCTTTTGAACTTTCATTCCACAAACCTTTACAGTAAAATCTGGAAGAGTGATTGTCTTGCACGAAATCCTAATCAGGCCATATTTTCTGTCTTTGAGGCCTAATTTAGTTTCACATCATATTCCTCATAATATTCATTTACCAGTCTAACGATTCATACCCTAGTATGGAAATCAAACACCCAGGTTGGCTCACAACACGAGTTGGCTCACAGAGCCTTTGATTGGTTGTTTGAGTCTCCACTCACAGAGTCTAATGTTTTGATTTCGTTTTTGCCACCTTTCACCTCTTCAACAAAAGATCCTCATCTACTCTGTGATGGAAAACCCGGGTAATCTAAATGTCTAACGAGGGAGAGCATTTTCAGTGGCGAATGAAAGAGTATTTTTCAATAGGGGAGCTCAAAATCGACTGAAAATTTCCAGCAACTCAAGTCTTGCTCTATTTACGACATCATGCTGAAGCAGCACCTGTTTTTAAATGCCTATTATTGTAGGGCTTAATTTCGCACAAGCTTTCTTCGGAGAATTAGTCATGAAAGGGGAGTCAAATACATGGGGGCAACAGGCTTACAAGTACACTTTTGTTTGAAGGAAGAAGGTAAAGTCCTTGAATGAACAAGACGCGATGATTATATATGGTTGGGAACTCTTGCCACGACAGACTGAGATTATATAGAAGGGATGTTAGTTAGTTTTGAAACAGAACCCTGAATGACATCTGTACACGTTTTCCGAATACATTTGTCAAATTGATATTTTCGAACAAAAGGTCCTTTTGGACTCCATTTCTGTAAGTAACCGCTCAAGTTGAATATTGACCTCCACCTGTATTGAACGGTCACTTAAAGCAGATCCACCCAAATTAAACTAAGAATGATCTTTCGAGAAAAATGTACTCCACGTTTATCTCCCGAAATCAATGTTAGCAGTATTTTTTAGCGACTCAGTTTTGTACAATGGAGTGGCCAATGATGACATAAAATGGCGTGTTTAATCATTTCCACTGGCGACTAAATACAGGAATGGCTCCGACCTGTAATTGGATGATAAAAATAGTAAAAGTGCATTCGTAAAAGTTAATAAGTTACATATTAACTCCTTGCACGTGAGTATTGTTTAACCGTGTGTCTCCGAGCGGAACAGGGAAATATCAATGCGACTGAAAACTCCGATGTGTCAAACAAGAAATGGTTACTTGCATAACGAAGGGAAGACCTTTCTAGTTCAGCGATATTCCGGAGAGGACTAAGTCATCTGCTGACTCGTTCCGCTGAGTAAACTCATTTAGTCAGTGCAGACTCAGTTCAGGTGGACGACAAGAGACTGGAGCCATTCCTGTATTTTACCGCTGGCAGGAATGGCTCCGACTCATGGGTTTATTAATTTTCTTTTTTTTTTCCTTTTGGCGAAATAAATTTTAAACTGAAATAAAATCGAAAGAGCTTTTTATTAAGTTCTTCTTAAGTTGAACATTACAGTGCTTGTGGATGGAGCCCTCATAAATTAATACAGGGCCATGTGATGTCTAAAGTGCAGCAACTGCATGTCACATTTCGAAAATCACGCAATGTTACGTGACGCTCCGACCTATATTTTTAATTTACAGTATGCTCCGGTGGAGAAATGTGGCTTGGCCGGAATCGAGGAAGTCGTCTTCGTGGAACATTGACTGGCAAGAGTACCATATCGCCCCATGTATTAATTATGCATTTAGACTAGTAGACTTTGTTTTTAAAGTTTTGTCGTGAAAGACAAGTGGAATGCATAATTAATGTTGGGGTTATATGGTACTCTTTCCACATTGACTTTCTGGGAAAATTGTTCACATGAAAGACAAATCCATTCATCGGGCTCCTCGTCTATTTTTGCACAACACCGAAAGGAAGAAAGTCGCGGATTACTTTAATTTCGCTTGGCAATTTTTAACAACTCTACCATACCTGAAAAAAGGAAATACTCACGTGCAAGGAGTTAAGATATAACTTATTAACTTTTACCATTTTTATCATCCAATGACAGGTCGGAGCCATTCCTGTATTTAGTCGCTCCAATTGGAGCGACTAAATACAGGAATGGCTCCAGACTCTGATCGTTCGCCTCAACTGAGCCCAGACTGACCAACTGAGTTTAGTCAGAGGAATTTGTCAGCGGATAACTTAGTCATCGCCGGATCACCGGGTAGGTACTTGGTGAAATCCTTCATACATGCATCAATACAGAAGAACATATGGGAATACATGGTCATTTGCATTCATTAACATAAATTAAGGATTACACCAAGTACTTACCGATCACCGTTGAACGACCTCGAAGAACAAGAAAGACCCTCCCCTCGTTATGTAAGTAACCATTTCTTGTTTGACACATCGGTGTTTTCGCTCGCATTGTTATTTCACTGTTCCGCTTGGAGACACACGGTTAAACAATACTCTCGTGCAAGGAGTTAAGATGTAACTTATTAACTTTTACTATTTTTATCATCCAATTACAGGTCGGAGCCATTCCTGTATTTAGTCACTAGTTCCATTTCCCGATACCCGGCTTATTCCGTGGAACCTGTTTCAAGCGGTCAACTTGTATCAAGCAGTTACGCCGCAATTCCCCGTGGGTGAAAGCTAAATACAGGATCGATTGTAGTTGATAGAAGCCGTGATTGACATTTGGAATCAGAGGCGGATCCAGGAATTTTTGATTGGAGGGGTCCAAACTTTGGTTCAGAAAGGACTGTTGGACTCTTTTGAGGCAAATTACTTCTCTCCCACACCCCCCACATCCCCTCTCACCAGTCGCCGTTGCACTTTATAATTCCTTGGCCGCTTAAAAAAATCAGACAGTTAAAAAGTGATATACGATCCTGTTTCAAAATTGTAAGCGTCAGGTCTTATAGGGGAGGTCCGGACCCCCCCCGGACCCTCCCCTTGGATCCGCCACTGGGAATAGATTTCTTAATTTTTTTTTATTCAGCGCTTATAAAAGGGCGGCAGTTTAGTCTCCTTTCATCTCCTGGTATAGCTATAGCTGTTGGGAGTCATTCTCGTATCGGTGGGCAGTAAAAGAAGATTTAAGTCTGCTGAATAGAACTAAGACACACTGATAGATAGACAGACAGACACAAAGGCAGATTATCATAGAGATGCAGAAGAGAACAACGGACGTCATATCAGTTGGAGAGGAATTGTTTAATGAGGAATTTTTGCACGAAAACACCTATAGAGGTATTCGACAACTCCTTAGAAGTTATCAAATGGCATTACTTTTAATGGTTGCACTGATATGATCAAAATTTCCAATTGGTTTCATAGCATTAATTATTACTGTATATTACTCATCAATATTGTTCCCGTTGTTCCTACTCGGCTCTTGATTTGTTTAAACATCTAGTTGATTCTTTGTCCTCGTCGAAGTGTTAATTGTTCGCTTCTTACCACACCACAACCCAGGAGGACAGCGCTTTTCAAACACTTTCAGTGACAAGTCCCTTTCTTCATCATTGGACCCAATCAAATTATCCTCAGTAGTAGTACGTTTCTTTCCACACCACAAGCCAGGTGGACAACGCTTTTCCAGGGCGTTGACAAAGTCGCCTTCGCTCTCCACGGGTTTTGGTAGACCTCGCTTCTTCCCGCACCATAATCCAGGAGGACAGCGTTTTTCAAAGGTCTCAATCGACGAGTCTCCCGCAAGGTCTTCCAGGGATACGGAGTTAATTGCTTTCTGATTGGATAGCTCTCGCTTTTTCCCGCACCACAGGCCAGGTGGGCAACGCTTTTCAAAGGTCTTAATCCACGAGTCTTCAGCATGTTCCTCTAGTGGTGCATCATTGATTGCTTTCTGATCGGACAGCTCTCGCTTCTTTCCGCACCATAAGCCAGGTGGACAACGCTTCTCAAACTGGTCGGCGAGTTTATCAGCGTCAACAACATTGTTGGCTTTGTTTGGACTTCTATCTTGAATTTGTCGCTTCTTACCACACCATAATCCTGGAGGGCATCGCTTTTCAAATGTCTCGATCATCTGTTCATCGGATACTTCGCGTTTCTTACCACACCACAGACCAGGTGGACACCGCTTCTCGAATGCTTGCACTAGATCTGAGGAGGGCTCATTGTTGTCAGTATTCACGCTTTCCATGTGATAACACGGAACATAAAGAATGAGAAGCAAAAGCCCAGTGTAGATTGTCATCTTACTCTGAAACATAAATGATCCCTATAAATGTATATTTCATTCAGGGAAAGTTAAACTAGAGATAGAAAGTGTGATATTGAGACAAACACTTTAACATCTCCGCAAAAGTTAAGAGAGTTGTGCCGTAGAAATCTGACAATCTATGCTGTCTTTCCACGGTACCTGATGGTTTATACTGTTGGCTCGGAAATTTCCTGAATCTATAAACTTATCACGATTACATGTATAAGATAGCGCACGCCGTCGTAGTAAAACTCTGTTGCATATCAATAAAATACCGAAAACATGAGCGCACTGTGGACAAATCATTTTTTCTGAGATTTTTCAATATGAACTTCTCTATTTTCTACAATTCAAAAGAATTAGAATGAGTTTAAAAAAGGCTCATCTAGGGAACAAAAATACTGAACTGATAAACTTGTCGACTCCTTACGAAAATTATTACAGAAATGAAATTTTACGTGTACGGAATGTTTGTAAAAATATAGATAAGATGTCTAGCTAATATCTGAATATCAAAAATGTCTAAAAATTATTTAGGTTAATAGGTATACGAGGTGTAAAAAGGTGTAAACATTGAATATTAAAGATTAAAATATTGTAGTAACTGTTGCATATTAAAAAAAAGTTGTTTCTTTAAATCATTTTTAAAAGATTCTATTGATCCGGAATTCCTGAGTTCCAGGCGTAAGTTATTCCACCGTGGCAGGTAGTAACTGCTCGAGTCCTACCGCCTTCGTTCATTTGTTTTAATCACCAGCAAATAAAATTAGTATTAGTATATCTAGTAGCAGGACTATGTCGCCGACCGTTGAATTTTAAAGAGTCTTTGATATGTAAGGGAACTTGACCCTTGATGCCGGCGTTTGTACGTCACACAACATTTAGCTGTTTTGGCTTTCTTATTGTCTACGGACTATTGAAAAGCCTGACGCCGGATTATCGGCGTCTGAAATTACCCTTACTGCCCTTTTCTGTAGCTCAAGAACACGACCTAGAGTCTCCTTAACAAAGCTAGTCCAGATTGTGCCAACATAATGCAAAACAGATCTTATCATGGTGATGTAAAACAATATCCTTTGTTTGATGGGCAGGCAGGATCGTATCTTTTTTCGACATTCCAATTTGCTGAGACATGTTTCTGTTAACAAATTATTCTTTATAAGCTTAGGGAAATTTTCCAATTTTCTCAATAATTTGATGAAACGTCTAAAATAATGAAAATTGCTGGATTAAAACAATTTTTCTAACTTCCCAATAAAATTGGGAGGAAAGCGAGTGGACGAGGAAATGAACTGAAAAGGAGTAAAAAGCAGATTCTAAATCTGCTTTTACTCCTTCATGAGTGCAAACAAAGCTACAATTTAAAGCCTTTTGCAGATTTATGTCCTCTACCTCTGGGAGGGACACGGAGAACACGAAAAGCAGGCTAGCGAGATCATAGAACGAAATACAAAGGGAAATATAGAAATCGTTGTCGAAATTGTTTCATTTGTAACTACCACAAAAAAATGCATCGAATAAAGCTTCGTATAGATCGTCATCAAAGAATGTGTAAGCGATGCTATTTACTCACCTAACAAGAAGATCTGTAAGAATGGCTTCGATTGCTGTGATGACCGTCCAATCAACTAAAACTGGAGGCCATTTTCAAATTACACATTTCTATGATGTTGCGACATTTCTATGATGTCTCGAGCCTATCTTCATCGATCAAAGCATCGACAGTTTGAACGTTTTTTACTACGATAAAAACCAAAGGAATAAAGGCACACTACACTAGCAGTAGGGAAAAGAGTCTTTTTGAAGGTCTCCTTGATCAAAACATCGAACGAAAAAGAGCAGCTGACGCTTTTATCCTGAAGTTGTTCTCGGTTACTTTACTTTCCTGAGGGTTTCCTCCTTGAGACAAACAAACATTGCTATAGCAGCTGCCTCTCCTTTTCTTTGTATGAGTATTACTTGTTCTCAATTTGGTGTTTCCTGGCATGGACTTGGGAACATTATCTCTGATCGCACATTCACCTAAATGTTTAATTCCATCTTTTCAGATATTTCGGTTTCCTTGGATTCTTTATTTTTCGTTTGAATCACTCTGGCATGTGCACAGATGTTTCAGATGGTAAAAATAAGGGCAGATTGCTGAAACTAAGCAAAGTACAAACAGCTCGCCAACAAACTTCCCGGGGTTATTGTGCTCTATTTTGACAGTGAATTCAGAGAGTTCCCTTTTATGATTTTTATGATTTTTTATTCCCTTTTATGTCACTGAATTCAGAGAGTTCCCTTTTATGATCAGGATAAATCAAGAATCACAAGGATGACATGTAAGAGTTTGGCAAGAATATACATATCCTATAAACCAGGTAGGACGGCCGTACTTTAGGAATTTCGACCGACGAAAATGTTGAATCATAACCTTGTTTAAACAAGTGACATGCCCATATTCGTTCTGCGAAAGGAATATTTTTCAGCATGCCAAATATAATTTCGAAAGTTGTAGAAATAAACCTCTGAGAGAAATAAAATCGATGCTAAAGTGATATCTACCAGGTAGTAGAATTTGCTATTTTCCTACACAAAGCCTCAAGCACCTCAAGCTCTGGCTTGATACAACTTTTCAGCCATAGAAGATTTTTCAAGTAGATTGCCATCTGAATTCGGGGTAGCAAAAACTTTGGCTTGGATTCACGTGAGTTAGTTCGGGAGAATACCTGGTGAGTTACCGATATAATATTGGCCCTTGCAAGACCATTAAGAAAGCAATCTGATTGATTGGTTTTATTCATCGTCCCACGGATTTCCTTGCTCCTGTTTCAAACTCGGAATCAGGTTTGATCCACGCGGAAAATATCGCAATTATTCATCGGTAGTTTTAAAGAACTCATTTATCTTTTCATGATCACCATTATCAAATGATCGCTCGTCTTATTTCGCGATGTAGCCGAGTTTTGGCTCGTTGCAGCTTACTAAACAACTTACAATGACAGGCTCACTCAGACCAGGACAATCAGAGAGCACAAAACGGGCTCAGACCTGACCGTTTACAATATCATAGAACAGATATTTGACTGACAAAGCAGCTCCTAATAATCAGCTGAAAAAAAAAACTAATTATTTGCCAGATAAAATACAATTTGCTCTATTTGGTTTGGTTGGGTTTCCTATTTTCCTTTTCCTTTTTCCTTTTTTGTTTTATTTTTGTTATGTTTTTTCAGCTATTTACTGGAGCATTTTTTGCAGTTCTATTATTCACCCTTAGGATTATTGTGATCTAAAATAGCTAAAGTGGTCTATCTAAGTCTCAGGTTCAAGAAGAAATGCAATTGGACGTGAAAGTTATGTGTGATTGTCTTTACCAGATCTTCAGTTCTCCGTTCTGAAATTCCATCAAACTCTAACTACAAGCCTATTGATCCTTCCTAACCTTGCTAAGTTTAAAAATTAGCTGAGAATAATACAGATGTATATGTGCACGATCCTTCGCAGTAAAGCACTATTTAAGCAATAGTGAAAATCAGACCTGAAAAAAGTTCAGGCCTGTACGGGATCCCGTACAGGCCTGAACTTTTTTCAGGTCTGATTTTCACTATTGCTTAAATAGTGCTTTACTGCGAAGGATCGTGCACATATACGTTTCATAACCGCAGTTCATATATATGTATTTCATATGTTTGTTGTTTAATAATACAGATTTAGTTGATCGGCCAGTTCTAACGACTATGCATTACCTTTGCCAGGCCATTATTAAAAGAAAAGAATTATTAACGTTTTATTTTTCCAACGAACCTAAAAACATAACCCATAAAAAAGTTATTGTATCGAGATAACTTTCTAAATTCTCGTTACAACTGATACAAACCTCAAGTTGACATAGCACAAGAGAACCTTCACTCAATTTTCAAGAAGTGAAATTTAAGCAATCAACCGATTTGCCTTTAGGTAATAGTGCGAGACACTGACGCATTGAACAAATTTTTAGACAATCCTTTCGTAACAAAAGAAAATATTGCTTCAAATTAAAGACACAAAATTAAAAAAAAAATGATAAAGTTTTAACCATTTCTCAGAAAATGGTAGAAGTACTAAGTGGGTAATAAGAGTCTCACCAGCTCACTTATCAGCGGATTGAAAATTCCCTCCGTCGCTACTGCAGACTAACATGGACTGAGCATTTTCAATAAACCAGCGTCTTTATACCCATCGCTGCCGTCTTTTTTTGAAGCCTCTTTTTGGTATTATACTCGAGTCCTCTGTTTTTACAAAAGAATCATAATGAAGTGTAATCCTCTCAACGCCATAAACAAAGCGTCAGTGACGTTTTTGTGAGAGCGTCGCTCTCGCTGCCACTACAATGGTTATGTAGGCGGTGCCGAATTCCAGCTGGGTCTCCGTGGATTATTTTGGACTGTTTTTCATACCATGTTGATTGGGATCTTACTGTGCATTGTGAGAATTCCCCTTGGGAAGGAAATGCATTTTTAATGAATACTTTTGTTTTGATTCTGGACACTTCGTTATTCTCGGTAAATCCGGAGTTCATTTCAAAGGGAATTGCCCACAATCTTCATTTACTTTTATAGTTAAGTTTCTTTGTCCACTTTGCTTTTTTATCAGGGTGACTCGGCTTACAGGGTCCAAACTCCAAAGACAAAAGAAACAGCATAATCTCGTCAAATACTGATCGATTTGTGAATGTAGAATTTTTACCCGAATTTTGAAAGGTATCGGTTTCACAAATAAACGTTTCCTCCAATTGACCTATTTCCGTCTCTAAAACAAAGAACAAGACCCGTTGCATTGTCGGCGATTTAAGCAGTCGATCCCTGCGGGGCAATGTTTTCGATGAGGGGTGATTTATAATTAATGATCTTTTGAGGAGCTACCTGCTCTTACGTGCTACAAGAGATTAATAATAAACACGTCTGGATTATTCTGTGAAGGAGCAAAATCCATCACTTTGGAAACATTTCACTCTTTTTACCCATGTGGACCAACGAAGGTGAACTAGTGTCAGTGCACTCTAGCCGTTTGTAATCGTCCAATAAAAATCGGTGGCTAATGGCTGTGTATAAAAAATTAATTTAGAAACTCTTTCAATGTATTATGACGGTTTTCGGAGCTTTGACTGCGAAAGGCATTTTTGTAATGGAGTCTTGTCTTTTACTGAAAATTGTTTTATGCTACAGACCACAGACGCTAATCAAAAGCTGAGAAGGGACGGAAAGTTCTGTTCACATCTCCTTGACATTCCATGGCAGCTACTAACAGAAAACTGTTCCATGATCAGTATATCAGAACACTGTTTCCACCTTTTCCCTTGCAGGCTTAAGATATTTCACTGCGTAGGATTTAAATCGGCCTTAATTAACAGAATTGTGTCAAGCAAACCTATAGCACAGTGGTCAACCGGATAAGTGGCGGACAAGTTCTATAGGAGGAATTATCCTACAGGCAGAGAAATATCACAGCCCAATTATTAATTAGGCGTTTTCTCTCTCACGAATTTGTTCACATCATACTTTCTCACAGCAGGATATCAGATTTAACTTTATTTTTTCTTGGTATTTTTACGAGGACATCATAAAATACTTGAAACATCTTTGCCTGTATGTTTGTTATAATTGTCCTCTAGCACTAGCGGCTTACTGGTTTTTCCTATTATTAATTAGTCATCACAAAGGGCGAACGAAATTAGTTCACTGAGAAATTATTTTGTCACCATCATTTTACTGTGTATGCTTTACTGAGAGAAGAATGGAAAAAAAAGTCTAGTCTTCATTTAATTTTAAAAATTATACTTAATATAAGCACTAGGAAACACTGAATTCTTGAAAACAGAGCGGCATCTGGCGAGCTTGTTTAAGCTAGCGCTATTTTGATCGAGTGTTAAATGATTGACGAGTTTATAGTTTTTTACTTGGCGTCACCGTTCAGTCTTGACCTCTACAATTTCTAGAGAAATTATCTATATTTGGCCTTGTCGTCAATATGGTGAAAAATCTTTGCTCATGATAATTACTCGGTCAATTGCGCCATTTAATGTTTCAACAACTTTGAGCCCAATCAGTGTTTCTATTCTTAAGCCATGCCGTTTAATTTAACGATTTTTTTAAAGCTTTAGTTTATTTTGATCCTTTTCTAAGAATTTGGTGCAAATAGACTCAACATGTGAGAGACGGTTGTTAGGTTGAGCCCTAGGGTCAATAACTGCGCCAACATTTGTCAAAATATTTTCGCCACTGCGCATGATAATAATGATAATTCCATACGAATTCGATGTCTTTTTAATCTTCATAAAACGTGTTACGGTTTGCATTTTTCAGATCGTTAAAACTGCCGTGGTGTGGCAAACATTTTCATACGTGCCTCGATAATTTTTTGTCTCGTGGTCACCACCACCTGTGTCTGTCGGTGGAAACGATCTCAATTTATTCATGGGAACAAGGAGGGAAAAGAGAAATACACGAATCAAACTGCTACTAAACAGAACAGTGACCTGCCGCGTCAGGTTCAAATCTCTCATCATTTCCATCTCAATCTTTAAATCGTGAGATCATCATTTTCCCGGTTACTTTGCCGGGTAATGGGAATTTTGACGGAGACATAACCTTCACAACTTTTTTGCCGCGGCAAGTCGACAAATACTGAAGGCTAAGATGACCAATTGACCAGTTGGTTGAAAAACTATATGAGAAACTTTTTGTAGACTTCCCCAACGTCCATGTCATTGTTAGTTCTCATAAGTGCTCCACATTTCGGAGATATACATTGAGAAGTACTCATGAGTCACCACGAGTGATTATCATTAAAAAGAAACATAAAAATATCTGTTTTTTTGCTTTTCAGAACAAAATTGTACTTTAACTTGAATTGATAGAATTCCCAGGCAGGAAAATTTTACGATTTCTCTAGTGTATCTCAGTTTTTCCCTCGACCTGTTGTCAAAAACTCATAAAAAAAATCAAAATTCTAAGATTTCTTACGAGAAATCTCTTTGACCGACGAGAAAGGTTATGCTTTCTTCAGTAGGCAGGGAAGTTCACTTTGTTTTGGTCCTTTATTTGCAAAGCGAATGCGGCTTGAAACACAAACCAATTACATCACTTAATGGCCATGGATTGACATGACCCACGAGATGACAAAGAGTAGCCACACTAAGAAGTTCTTTATTTGAGATAGTGCTGATCTATGTTTAGCAAAGAAAGATCAATTATCCGCTTAAAGAAGGGTTAAAAGTCTACATGGATGTTGAAAAATCCAAACGTTAGGAGGGTATGACAAAACTCACAGGCTTTCTACTATCGAAGCGCAAAGGCCTTCGGGAATGTTATTGACCCCCAGGTCGTAGCGGTAGGTGAGGTACCACAATAAACAGGGACTTTAAGCAGTCAGGACGGCAACGCCACGGAAGACGTCGATCAAAAAAATGAGTTTCTACTTTTAGTTAGAATTTCGAAAATGGCTGGATGTGTTTACCGTCTCATAGGGCGCCAGTCCGCCAGACCTCAAACTCAACATAACGCATAAAAGTAGCGTTGAGTTCCAAATGTTAATAATTGAAATAACTTGCCGCTGCGGTTTAGCTTCACAGACGACGCAAATTTTGGTGATTTCACGTTGTTGTTTTGCAAAGGACGGCTAAGAAATGTACAAAGTTTGAAAATGCACGTGCTGGGCTATTGTTCTGCCAATTAGATCTATTGTTTTTCCACGTTCTCGTTGCCGTAGCCGTCGTGGTTTGCTTAAAGTCCCTAACGACCGGCTTTAGTACGGCTCGAAAGAGGTGGATCGGTTAGAAATTTATCTTTTATATTCGAACCATGCTTGTTTCTTCCCTATTGAATTCACTGCGGGTCACTGGATTCCAAAGGAATTCTGAAGAACAATGTAATTCGAGTTTGAAAACTGGTTACTGGACTTTTCAAAATTGTTTTCAACGTACAAGACTTCATTTACGAATTGAGATGAAACTTTGACATAAGTGGTAAGAACTGTAGGCTGTTATTGAAATTTTTTAAAGGACCTTCGTCGATGCATCATAAAATGCAAATAAAAAAAGGTTAAATCTGTTTCCGAGAAAAACAGTCCAAAAGAATAGCTAGCAAAGAAGCAATCTTTAAGTCAGTCGCCCTAATCGCTCTCGATAACGACTTCATTCTTTTTTCACATGAATTTCGACAGTTTTCAACGTACCTTGATAAATGTCATTTTAAATAACAGTACCAGAAAGAACCTTTAATAATCTTCGTCACATGAACACTTTTTATCTTTGAATAAGATGTCAAAATACAACTTTAATAAACTTTAAAGTGTGCGGTTGCTTGTGTTTGAATATTCATTGAAGAGTTTTAATTTTGTCTTAATCGACTGTATGGAAACAGATAAGTTTGGGAATGGCCGATTTACTTCCTGTGATAGTTAAGTTTGGCGGAAGAGGTTCCATGTTAGCGGAGCATTTCGATATACAAAATCCGGGGTAATACGAATCGGTCATTGAAATGGACATCTTTAAAACTTCTGAGACAAGATCGATGGTGATATTGAGCAATAATTACTATAACAGGTCTATTCCTTCTAAATTGCCCTAAAGATTTTGGACAGATTTCTATCAAAACCAGAACGATTTCAGTCTTCAATGCTTTCAATTATGAACTTCACTAAAGGGGCAGAAAAATCAATGAACATTAATTTAGTGTACGAGGCAGGCTGGAAGAAAAGGGAAGGAAATGAGAGCGGGAACACACGATGTGCATCTTGACTTAATCAGAGCGTTCAGTTGGTACATAGCATCACGTTGTTATAGTATCATGGAAGTAATACTTTTGCGGCCGGAAGGTGCGCTAAAACATTGTCCTCAGTTGTTGGGCAATTTTTTCAGCGTCAAACCTAAACACACACACACACACGCACGCACACAAACACACACACACACACACACACACACAAACACTGTATTTTTCTTCCCACTTCGTGAATAAGACAATAAAAGAAAGTACATGTAATTGCGTAATAAAGCAGTTTCCTGACTTGAATGCGACAGGTTAAAGCCAATACAACTGATCCGTCTAAAAAACAATTTTCATTCAATTTTCAAGTGAGTAAGGAAAGAACAACTTACCGGCAAAACAGCCAGATCTGATGTTGCGTATACTGTTCAACAGTCACTCTTTTCAGCCCTATTACTGAATAGGACGAGCGGCTCAGAGGTCAGTTATCTCTCAATGTTTATGTTGGACGCTTATGAAAAATTAATATTATTGCCTGTGGGCGAGGGCAGCTCTTTATGAGTAACTCAAATAAACCATCTTTGCTCTTGAAATGACAATTATTTTTGAACAAGTTAGTAAACACGTCGGCTTTTACGATCATTTGGTACTCGGCATATAATCAAATGCCATGATTTGTAGGTGAATTGGAGGTATTAATTATCCTGGAGGACGCTAAAAAGGAAGTAACACTTTTCGAGAACCAAACGCAAGTTTCTTTAAAACTAGCTGAAGATCTTTCGGATTTTTTTTTTCATATCTAAAACTTGGAACTATTTAATTTTAGAAATGAACCTAGCACTAATGATAACTATTCATAATTTGGATATACCGTATTTATTCGATTAAGCGCCCAACCTCGAATAAGCGCCCACCTCGAATAAGCGCCCACCCTGAAGGTAGAAAAAGTTAATAAGCACCCAGCCTCGAATAAGCGCCCACCCTCAAAAATTACTTTTTAAGCGCCCAACCTCGAATAAGCGCCAACCGCCCCCCCCCCGAAAAAAATTAATAATAAAGTACACAAGAGGAATACAGGTATTGATTATTACGGTACGGTATTTCTTTAGTGGCTTACAATCTCTAGTTTCATTGTTTCATCTTTACTTACTGAAAATGGTGAAAATTTATTAAGCGCCCAGCCTCGAATAAGCGCCCACCCTGAAGTCCAAAAGTTAAATAAGCGCCCTGGGCGCTTAATCGAATAAATACGGTACTTGACATAAATGGTCAATAAATAAAAAATGTATTTCTAATACTCTGCTGACATAAAAGAACTTCAGTACACTTCCGCCACCTTATTAGTACAAAATCTGCTTGTTGCTGTTAATTACTCACAAAAGTTGTAAACCGCGTTACTCTTTGTCTCCGATCTCTAATGACGTTTTTGTCATTTTATGCCAATGAAATACAGTACTAGACCTTTTTTATGACTAGTTACCAGACGTCAAATCAAATCAGAAAGAGGAACAATTCATAAGGGAAGTTGTAAAATCAATTGGCATTACTATAGCACTGACTTTTGATTGAAAGAGTGGGTTGGATTTTATCTTGGACCAATCGTTGTAAATCAGCATTATTAGTCATAGGAAAGAACCCACCAGATGTTTGTTATACCGAGATCATTGTCACGGCCCCCTTTCTGAATACTTTTAATTCATTCACTGTTCCCAAATACACGGTGCAATTATTATGCGTACGGTCAAGAAGAGTTCAATTTCTCCATTCATATTTCAAGAAATTTTACCATTTACAAAAAAAGCAAAATGGGCTTCGCATTAATTGACTAATTTCTATGGTGGGGCAGAAAAATCATCATAGAACAAATAGACTTGCCGTAAGGCCCATTCATGTTTTCTGTTCAAAAAGGCTATAGTGTTGGATTACGCGAGCGTGTATGCGATACTAAAAATAGTTAAATAGGGATAAATTTCCATTAAGGAAAATGTAACCTAGTTTATCGACATGCACTTCCTTATGGACATATACCTATCTTTATCTGTCTTTATTCATATATATATATTAAAATCCCCTGATGAGTGGACAACCACGAAACAGGTCTGTAGGGATGTATATGTAGTTGTTTTATTTCCGACTACCACACATTATACCCGCTCTACTATTTGTATCGAGCACTGTTTGACGGAAACCAAGTTTAATCCCTATATATATATATATATATATATATAGGGATAAACTTCTGACGTAAAAAATATAAAAAATTTTAATAAAAAAGAAAGTTTAAAGAATTGCGAGGATGTACAACTTCTGACGTAAAAAATATAAAAAATTTTAATAAAAAAGAAAGTTTAAAGAATTGCGAGGATGTACAACTTCTGACGTAAAAAATATAAAAAATTTTAATAAAAAAGAAAGTTTAAAGAATTGCGAGGATGTACAACTTCTGACGTAAAAAATATAAAAAATTTTAATAAAAAAGAAAGTTTAAAGAATTGCGAGGATGTACAACTTCTGACGTAAAAAATATAAAAAATTTTAATAAAAAAGAAAGTTTAAAGAATTGCGAGGATGTACAACTTCTGACGTAAAAAATATAAAAAATTTTAATAAAAAATTTTTATTAAAATTTTTTATATTTTTTACGTCAGAAGTTGTACATCCTCGCAATTCTTTAAACTTTCTTTTTTATTAAAATTTTTTATATTTTTTACGTCAGAAGTTGTACATCCTCGCAATTCTTTAAACTTTCTTTTTTATTAAAATTTTTTATATTTTTTACGTCAGAAGTTGTACATCCTCGCAATTCTTTAAACTTTCTTTTTTATTAAAATTTTTTATATTTTTTACGTCAGAAGTTTATCCCTATATATATATATATATATATATATA